TCAAGACTTCTCAGTATGTGTGGCGACACTATCTTAATGAGCCACAGTTCACCTTCAACTGTCATAAATGTCTCCACACGTTGAAGCTGCAGGACGGGAAAGGCTCATTTTCCTGGCTTTATCAAACTATAAAGTCAATTGAACAAAAGCTGTGAGAGACTGCTGTCGGTGCACAGGGCTTATGTTTCCTGCTAGCTTTTGGTTGAATGTGGGGTCTGGGTGTAGATCTCATGCAGCCTATTGTTTCCACATCCTCTGCAGCCTGAGTAATGGCCTTCTGAAAACAGGCCGTCTTTTGTTCTGGCCTCCTCGGCTCCAGAGTGGGATGCCATGGCACTGGTTCCCCTTTGTGGTTGATAGGAGGAGAGGGAGGAGGTGAGGAGGAGGTGGAGGAGGGAGTGAAACCTGTCGCCACCACCGCTGTCTGTTATCAGCAGGAGGCAAGTCACTCTGGGCCTGGTGCTAATGCAAACTCTGTGTATGTGTATGTGTGTGTGTGTGTGTGTCTGTGTCTCTGTGTGTGTCTGTGTTAATCCAGTGTGAGCAAAGAGGGGCTCAGCTCCAGCTTCTCTCACCAGGGTGTAATCAGCATTACTGCCACTCATAAGACTCAGGAGGGAGAAAGGCCAAAGTCTAGCTATCAGCCAAACATCTCCGCCAGTGGCTTAGAGACACACACACAATGACAGACACAAACACACACACACACACACACACACACATGCTGAGACAGCCAGCCAGCCAGCCAGCCAGCCAGCCACCACCCTCATCCTCACCACACTTCAGTAAACACTACTTCTCATCATCTCATCACAAACAAAAGAGCCCAATCGTTCCCAGGGCCACAAGTTGACACATGCCATTTAAGACAAGTCCCCTCCACAATGGAGGCCAGCGATACAAAACACAATGTGTGTCTGTGTCTCTGGCCCAGTGCAAGAGAGAAGGACGGGGGGCAGCAGAGACGAGACGAGAAGAACATACAAAGAGACAAACGAGAGGTTTTGCGTGTTTAACGCAGAAGTGTGTTTATGATCCCGCAGTCAATCAGTCAACGCTTGGAGCTACGCGGTGTCTTCTCTCTAGCCGAGTTGCACATGCTGGAAGTGAGTGATTAATGTGGCTGCCTTGAGTGGGAGACAGTGCATGTAATCAAGCCCCAGCCTGTAATCACCTTCCATTCCTTTTCATTTGCAATTTCACAGAGGGACAGAGCTGCTGCCAGAGCAGCAAGCTCCAACACTGGGGGAGAGGTGGCTGGGTATGACGGAGGAGGGAGGGAGGAGGATGGGAAGGGGTGCTGCGCCACAAGCATCCCCTGAGGTTTCCCCCTGCAATGCCAAGAACGATACATCTCTGGCAGGTGCCTGAGGGCCAAACTGTCAACTTCAACAAATTGTGGGTCACTGTGCCTGACAAAAGCCCCTACGTCTACCCCCTCCCACAGAATACTATGTCTACAGACATGCAGAGCCATACGCTTGTGTGTGTGTATCTGTGTGTGTACCCTTTTATGCCTCATTAGCTTATGGTGTGGATTTTCACATGAGGGAATTAAACGGGACACGTTCCTCAGCGAGCCAAGATGTGCTCCATATCTCCAAGCTGCTTAATTGGACAGAGAACGCATTTTTCCAGAGCTGCTGCTGGATCTCAGAGGGTCACTTGTCTTCATCTTGCACTCACACACTCGCTAAATAAATATGTAATCCTGCCGGCACACAAGATTTTCATTCTTGGCTTTTTATAAGAAGTAGCAAGCTATAACCACCAGTGTTTGAAACATCATAATCCAACAACAATTTCTTCTTTGTGGGCACACACACACACACACACACACACACACACACACACACACACACACCAAGTAACATGCACAACATTTACAGTATCCTGAATAGATTACCAACATTCAGTGAAAGCTCTCTCTATGTTGACATTAATTGCCCTATACTTTTTTTTCACGTGATGTTAAGTACTATTTAATTTTATCTTTCAAGATGATTTCTGCACAAATTAAGAGTGCATTTTTTTTCAGTGCTTACTTTGTAGTCATTTAGTTTTTATACCTATGTCTTCAGTTTCTACTGTAATTGAATTAACATCAGTGTTTCCCTTGTTAAAAAATCAACTGACAGAAGTCACAAAAGTCTAGATTTCAAACTGTGTTCATAGTTCAACAACCAAATGTTTATGATGGAATATCATTAGTTCCACAGCAGGGACGTTTCTATCATGTCGGGCACAAACAAACCCTCGGGGCAGGGCACAACACATCTGGACTGAGTGTTATGCGTCGGGCTGAAAAACTTGATTCATTTTGGGTGATCCAAGCAGGGTGACAACACACAGCCTGCATTCCCCCACTCATTGTTATTCAAATCAGAGGAGACAACACACAATCAGAGGGGACTCTGGGGATCTCAGCATAGACAGCATAAACACACAAACAGACAAAAAAACCTGCGCTCAAACACACAGATACTTACAGAAAAGCAAGTGCCAAAAATTCCCTTGTTCCCTCGCTCTTTTATACACACAGACAAACCAAACAAACAAACACACACACACACCACACACCGAGGGTCCTTGGGGGATCCACTCTGGTCCTGCCAGGCTAAAGACTGCGCCACAATAGGCAGAGAGGGCAGGACAGGAAAAAGGAGGTGGGACATGAATAAATCATGCCTTTAGGCCACACAGGACACAGCATAAACACACACACCCGAGAAACACAACAAGATCCACACCCACATTTAACACATAAAAAAACATTCATAGTATATCACACATAACTCATACACACCACGTTAGCATAAAAAGTGTGTTCTCTCTCTTTCATCACAACAACACACACACACACACAGTCACTCCCACACACACACCCACACACACACACACACACACACACACACACACACACACACACACACACACAAAAACTGGGACTCCAACCTGGGAAAAGGATGGGAAAGCAGGCCAGAGTTCATATAATCTGTCAAGCTATTACTGGAGCAAAAGTGTGCCAACGCTACACACACTCACGCATACAAAAACACACATTCATGAATGTCTGAGTCAGGAAGACAGGGACAACTAATGCAAACTGAAGTCATGATGCTTCACACTGTAGTCAGGAGCATTAGGGCTCCTGTAATCACCTCTAAAAATTAATTTGGCTAATAACTTTCTGTGTCATGTACAAGGGAGTGGTGTGACATTCTCTGCAATCCCTTTGTCATCACAATGACAGGAGTCCAAAGATGAACTGTCACCATGTCAAACCTCAGACACAAGGCCAATGTTTCGATACAGTTTTCAGTAGGCTACAGCACTCCGCTAAATTAAATCTTACTAGCACAAGTCCTTGTTGAGAAACACTAACATATATAATCACAGAGACACAAAATCGGTTTAATTTCCTTTCATTTGATTTTAACAGATGGCATTTCCCTCTTGCCTAGGCTGCAGGACAAAGTCAACAAACTGCCTGTTAAGAAAAGTAGAGTCATGTGTGTCTGTTTAAAAACACTTTATTTTGCAGCTACAGTAGTTTCACAAAGCAATGTTTTATGGCAAACTACTCCCAACACAAACTCCACAAAGTCCCTCAGCTTAGTGTGTGAGCTGTGAATCCTTGCATTGGATTTGCAGCGTTTCTTCTAATTTGATGCTACACATATTCCTGTCAATAGCCCTGTGCCTTGTTTCAGGAGTTGCAGTTGGGATCTAAAGAGCCAGTTAAAAAAAATAAAAAAATAAATAAATAGCAGTTGACCATCTGCCCCATTAACCTCCGATACCAGACTGCAAACACTGAGAGCTGCTTTTAAAGGTAGACAAGCCTGAATACAGTTTGTGCAGGAGCCAGTTCGGAAACTTTACACAAACATCCTGGACTAATTAGAAAGGCACACCCACCAGATTATTATAATAATAATGACGGTCAGGAAGTAAAAATGAATTCGACTTCCCTCAATCCCTCGAGGGAAAAATAAAGAATGCTCTCTGGAAAAATACATTTTTCAATTGCATCACTTCAATTTAAAGTAACTTTCACAAAATACATCTGTACCTTAAATTCAGGGAAAGTAGGAGTAACATACTCCACACCACACTGCACACTTAAAGGTGTAATCCAGTCTGTTCACCACACAAGCCCCCTTACAAAACGCACCACTACTCTGCTCATCTTGTCATGACAGGAAGGGGGTTGCAACTCCCTCTAACCAGCCCATGCAATTAGCATTGTAAGTAAAATATTCCCCAGGGACACAGCTGTTCCTGATTTAACACACATAGTTCAGGCTCAATAATATAGTGTAATACTGTATTACACACAGTAAACACACACTCACACTGATATATTACCCAAGTATATTTTCCCAAATGAGAACAAGGAGCAGAGTGCTAATCTGTGTCACTGAAGGCTCCTCATTTGACTTATGATAACTCCTCTCTGCACTGTTGACACCAGTTCTGTCAGTGTGTGTGTGCAGGTCCTTCTCTCCTTCTCTCCCTCCCTCCTTTTCCCAGCACCGCTCACTGACCTAACAAAGCCTCTCCTCAGTCTCCAGCCTGACCCAGTAACCTGCATGTCTCCTATCTGCTTGAGACGGCCACCTATAAACTCTCATCTGAGCGCTCCGAGAGCAGCAGTGCGGTGGGATGAGTGAGTCAACAGCAACGTGTGATGAACGAAACCTTCTTTGCAGTTGTTGATTTTCAGAAATAACTTGGCGTACACCTTTAGTTTAAGAGATGACAGACTGATGTGTTGCCTTCTTATACATATGATGCAGTTTCATCCATTTGAACAAACGAGCTGAGGCCTTGTGGTATGCAGATGAGTATTTAGCACTTGGTTTGCAAATACTTGTTTAAATAGTGATTAAGCCATCTAGTTAGATTGGATTTCTAACAAGATTATGCTTAATTAAGATCCCCATAAACTGAACATAAATAACAATGATAGTAATAAAAATTACTAACAAACTTACCCCTTGGTTTCCTTTGAAACAAATTGATGGTTCACTTGATAAAGATCCCTAAAGTCAAAGAAAGAAAGAAAGAAAGAAAGAAAGAAAGAAAGAAAGAAAGAAAGAAAGAAAGAAAAACGATCATTTGTTGTGGCATAGTTGCACATATTCAGAAAGCTCTGTAATCTCAATTAGCCTCATAAACACAATTATGCTGTAATCTGTTTAAATGTAAGTTAAATACAAGCAGTAATTCCTGTGTGCTGGTAATGGTCTCAACTGGAGCTAATTATGAGACAAACTAGCCGACTTGTCAATTAGATCAGTAGGCAGACTATGTACTTTACTTTGAAGCACCCGGAAGGTTTCCCAGCAAACAGCTGACGGACCCTTCTTTCCCGACAATCACAGGGTTCAGTCCTGGTATGCTTTGCAGTAAAGTAGCCAACTGATTCACGGGGTAACGCAGTTACAAGTAACTGTAAACTTGTTTGAGTTTCTCTCATTTATTTAGTCATACCGTACACAGACAGACGAAACGCTATCTAAAAAAATGAAAAGCGTAAAACAAACAACTGAACAGTAAGTGAACAAAATGAAGAGCGAAGAAGAAGTAAAGCGCAGGCGACAACTTTGACAAGTGTAAGATTGAATTCAACACCAAACGCACGCGCACACACAAACACACACACGAGGAAACGGTACCTTGAGGTTTTGATAAGCCTCCAGCGCTTTGATAGCCGTGTCCGTGAGCTTGACATGGTACAGCGTCCTGCTGGGGCTGTTTCTGTTATTTTTTCCACAGGAGAGCCCATAGCGGTGCTCCTGCCTGAGCGAAGCCATCGCTGGCTTTTCTCTCTGCCCTGCAATTAAAGCTGCTTTCCTCTCTCCGCTCCGCACGCTCCCTGATACGTCATTGTGTGGGCGGGGCCACGGCGACAGCAGCACTGTGAACTGAAGGCAGGTTGTATACAGGATTTATACATGGCATTTACTCTTAATACAATAACAGACTATATAATATCCACAAAAATATTTAATATTTTCTGTTCTCATATTTACACGTTTGTTTTGTTCGTTTATTTATCCTCACCAGCTGTTTCTGATATAACACTCACTCTCCATAGGGTCCATAGAAAAAAAGTAGCAAAGTCATGAAATTATATAAATTATAGAAGCAAATGAAGATAAGATTACATACATGCATACATATATAAATACACATGCCTACATATGAAAATCAGACTAGAATAACAACAAGAAACTGGAAGGTATAAGGAAGTCTGTTATTATAATCAACAATCCAGCAGCATACACACTGAATTTATGTTCATAACTACCCAGCCTCCAAAAATAATACAGAACAATACACGTCCCATTAAAGCCTTATTCATCTTAATAACTGTTTTTAAAAAGGAATCTTATTCAGGGATTTTCCAATAAATGACGATAAATTATTCCATTCAATGGCGGCCTTGTGCGGAACAATTTTAAAACATTACTTGCAGCTTGAGGAACAGCTGACGAGCTGCTCGATTCTGAATATCTGGAGCTCCTGCAAATCTTCTTTAGCTGCACTGGACCAGATCACACTTCAAAGTCCAGATGTGTTAGAACTAAGCATTGTACAACCGTATTTAACGTGCTTGGAGATGAAAAAAAGCAATGCCAAATAAAATGCCAAGTCATCCCCAAATGAGGCCATGCTACTCTTCACTGAGGTAGGCCATTAGTAAATATTGGTGGTACTCCATATTCATGCTTTCTTATAGCAGACAACATTATTCATTCAATTAGATAAGTATCTCCTGACCCACCTGACCTGTGACGGTTTGAAGACATATGCAATTAGCTTATTTAGAAGTAAATCATAATCAGTTACATCAAACACTGCATTGAAATCTAATGAGACAGCTCCCACAAGAATTCCTTAGTCAAGATAGCTCAATCATTTATCAGTCGCTATACAAGTAGAATGCATGTTGGGAAAGAAAAAACACTTTATCAGTGTCAATAACTAAGAAGTTCTAAAAACTCTCTGTCCACTGCCTGCCCTGCACCAAAAGGTAGACAGACAAAGTTGGTGACTAGCTGGTGAACATAGTGAAGCATATAGCGGCAAAAGAGACAGACAATTTTTTAGTGGAGACAAAAACAAAGATAAAGGCAGACTGTATATTGGACTTACATTTGCCAGGTGGAGAGAGATAACTGGAGAATTACTCCAAATTAATGCTAATGTCGAATTGTTTGCTCAACATGTAAATAGCCAACTGTTTGCTAACACCTTCACTATGTAGCCTAACCCTATCAAATGATAATGTGTCAGTGTTGTGTTAACAGCTTGTTCCTCTGCCTTCATGTCACCACAAAATAAATTAATACTACTTTACATAAAAAATCCAAACCAAATGCCCAAGCCATACACAGTATAGTCACTGAAAAATAACAAGTTTGCGAGGGGATGTAATGGAGACGAAAGTCTTTGATAATTTAGCCTCAACCACCCTCTTGGTTAATGTCATTTACACAACAGAGCTTGTCATTTTACAGCCATTTCAGCTCATGAACTCACACATCCTATAGCTTCTCACACAACTAAGTCAAATGACAAAGGCATTTCATTTTAAAGCTGAAATACATCCTCGTGTTGTTCCAGTCTGCTGTGCCAAAATGTCTTCAGCAGAGATAGAAGAGTCTTCGTGAGGAAGTGTGGTAGCCATTTACTGAAATATCCCAATGCAAAGCCTGAAAAATGCAATAACACAAATCTGATGTCTGTCAATTAAAACATGGGGATAAGTGTGTCACTGCGCTGCATATGCAGGCTTTGTTTTGACCTGACTTTACTGGCAGTCAACCAGGTCAGGAACGACCAAACAAGCTGATCAACATTTCTTAATAAAGGGCAAACTCTTTAATGATACACTGACACATGAGTGGGAAATGATATCTTATTAAAGTGCAAGACATCCATCCACTTCATCAGAATAAATGTAGCTTGTTTTCAGATACCACAGAGTGTACCAACTAAAAAAGGAGAACATTTATATTACTTGTTACAGATTAAGCTCATGTTTATATTTTCTCAGTGAGCAGGGACATCTCTTGGGCACAATTCTATTGGATGCTAGAGAAGTATTATAGTTTAATGCTGTGGCTCTCCTGCGTGTGCTTTACTACACTGTGTATCAGTCAGAAAATGTCATTCACAGCCACAGACCACACTGTCTGTAAACTTTATAAAACGTGGGCTTCCAAGAAAATAGTTATTAACACAGTTAAATGTGCCAAAGTTGAGTGAGAATTTTTATGGAAACCCAGTATTAATAGTGTTAGAGGTCTAATTGAGTTATACAATGATATGACTAAATGTAAAAGGTCAAATTACAATTTATATAATAACAATAACTATTTTAACAATTTACATTTATTACTATCAATACAAGCGAAGATGTACATTCTGAATGTGTATTGTTGTACACCACAGAGATGTTACACTCATTGTCAAAAACCAATCAATGCAATGATTGAATTGTCTATTTAATTTTAATATGTTTACTGTAGGCTTATCCTGTAGGCATAAAGGAGCACCCATATTAAGTATATAGCTAAATTATTGAATTAAATTGAACAAGGTGAATATTCAAACAACTAGAAATAGAAACTATCCCACACATATATTATTTTTTTTATCAAATTCTAAATTGTCTGGTGAACCACCTGAGGGGCTACAAACAAGAAAAAGAAAAACCAAGCAACAATCACAATGTGGGTCAGTTTGCAAATAAGCCTTGACAGAAAAGATGCTTATCCTGAGGCCTTAATGGGCTTAGTAATCGTCATTTTTGACAGTCTGTCCAACTTTCCTTTGTGGCGTAGGTTGTGGTCCAACAGTGAATGAACAGGAGTAGGAGAAGCTAAAACTGATACTGAACCCAGGAGAGGAAATTGATATGTTCAAATGTATGTGTCTCACAGCCCAGCGAGCATGACCAAGCTGAAACGACAGCAAATCTAAACACCTTAAGTGTGACCTTAACTGTGAGACAGCCAGCAAGTGATGTTGGAGGTTGGCAAAGCAGATGAGTCTGACAAGTAAGCCTATTTAGCTAAATTGCTAAGCTACTCCCTGAATGAAAGTACATAACAGGAGGGGGAGGGGTTACTGGCGGTCAACAGAGAACAGGTGGTGCTGATTCTTTATGTCATGCCTCACTTCCATTAACCTTAGATTTGGAAAAACACAGTTTGTTCTGTTCTTTATGAAACTCTCTGCAATCCAATAAATCTTGTATTTTAACCATATACACTGTATATCTGTAAACTAAGCTCCTGAGAAAACTGCATACTGTATAATAATACTTAAATACAGCTGTCCTTCCCCCCTCCCACTGATGCTTGTAGGTCTGAACTTGCCACTCCAACAGCCAAGCAGTGGGATTAACACATTTCAGGCCCCTCCCTCTTTCTTACCTGGCTCATCTGTCTCATCCACTCATTGTCTGTGGTTTACCATCTGCTGCATGGGAGACCGCTAATGCACACCGACCCCCCTGGGAGTGACGTTTCACACCTGAGGTCAATGACTCTGAGGACACCTGCAACTGGCAAGAAGCAGAGCTTGTTCGCATTGTACAATTATCCCTCATGTTTCCCTTCTTCAGTGCAGATCAGTCGCTGTTGGAAAAAGTGTAATATGTCCATTACATCACCACCAAAGGTTAAATAATACAGTTTACATCACAGCCTCAAAGAGAGAACATGTTGGTCTGTGAAGATTTATATGTGTCTTCATACATATGACATATACATATGTGAAGAAATGAGGAAACTTACAGCAAAATCTGAATTAGCAACCACGTACAAGTAAACACATATGGCATATGTTTATCTATATTCAGTGCTACACACAAAAACACAGGCATGCACACACACACTACACATTTGGCTGTAAAACCCAGTAAAATGTTCACAAAGACAGGGCAAATGACTCAAAGACTGAGACTTCAAGAGGATGTGCGATATTCACATTCATATTACACACACACACACACACACACACACACACACACACACACACACACACACACACACACACACACACACACACACACACAGTTATTTCAGTTAGCAGGAATGGCGTATCTGGCAGAGTGAGAAAGCACTAATGAATTTGGGAAAGGTATCGAGTTAGACACACTAACGCCTTTTGTGTGAGACTAACACTTTGCCTGGTGTCAAACACAACAGCATGTTTATAGAGTGCTTTCACAGGCTGCTGAAAATTTGGACTTTCTCTTTTAAAAAATTTTAATAATTGGAATTGGTTGTTTTAGGTTTGTAAAATGAGGACTGACTATATACTGATTATAAAGTTCAGAGAACAAAGAAACATAAAGTATAGCAAAAAGTAGTCTTGACACTTTCACTTGTCCTTAGTGGTTAAAAAGATGTAGGTACTGTGAGAGAGCTAGATGCTGGCTGAGCTGTAGTAGAGATCAGTTAATTGATATTGAATGTGAAGTTTGCAAATGAGCATGATCTCTGAAGTACACATACTGTATGTGCAGCACTATCGCATACACACTATGTTCTGTGATCGTTTAGAAAAGGCAGATAAATCTGCCTGGCTGGATCACTAGACTGTTTTTTTGGTTTTTTTGCATATCTGACTTTCATGATTGTTAACATCAACTGTTAAAATGTTGTCTAACCAAATAAGCTGAGACATGTTATCAAATGTGTCAAGACATGCAACACACTGTGTGTGCAGAACCACTTTTCATTCAGCGTTTTGTAAAGAGCAACAAGATATTAAGCTACTAAGATATTAAGCAAAT